GCCATCAGCATCGTGATAGCCATTTTGGCCAAGTTGTTTCTCTCAGAATGAGAGCATCGATGATGCAATCAGCTTCCATATTCGCGGTGGTTGCCACCGCCGCCTTCCACATCGTTCGTGCCTCTGGCTTGCGGGTGCCCGTGGTCGAGGCTTTCCACGTTGAGGCTGGCATGGAGCACCTGAGCGACATGCTGGCCGACATCGGGACCATCGACGATTCGAGCGATGGCGGCGAGGTGGCTCCACGGACACCAGTTCATGTGGCAGCCCAGCAGGTTCCATCGCCGCCAGGGCCGATTGAGCAGCAGGTTCCTTTGTCGCCAGGGTCAGTTGAGCAGCAGGTTCCATCGTCGCGAGGGCCAGTTGAGCAGCCAGTTCTACCAGGGCCAGTTGAGCAGCAGGTTCCATTGCGTCCAGGGCCAGTTGAGCAGCAGGTTCCGCCAGGGCCAGTTGAGCTGTGCGACGTGCTAGCGCTCGGGGTCATCGAGATCGACGACTCGCCTCCAGAGAAGTCGAAGCACTCGCAGCGGTCTCATGCTCACGCAGCGCAGGCTCGGGAGGGCAAGGCCAAAAAACACGCGCAGAAGCTGAGGGGCCAGCTGGCGAAGCAGAAAGCGGAACACGATATGAAGCTCAAGAGCGCGGCGTTGGTTCCGGGTGTATCACAGCCCATTGGGAACAAGTCGTCGACGACGCGCGGGAAGCTCAAGCGACACTTGACCAGCGACGACTTCGTGATTGCATCGAGGGCGTGCTTTTTACCTTCCAAGAAGCAGTGCGCCATTGGAGTGGACCATCGTCGCTTGATGAAGGCTGCTTGCGACATCGCGGTCACCAGACAACTGCAAGGTTTCAGGGACAGTCTCAAGAGAAGCCGTGATTCTATTACAGATGCCGATACTCGCGATCACCGTTTCGTACACCTGGGTTTCGGACATCTATGGGATGAAGTTGAAGTGCGACAAGCATGGAAGCCTGGGAAGCGCTACCGCGTCATGAGAAAGAACGTGGCGCAGCCAACGCTCATCCAGAGATCGACGGCGCAGTTCACGCTCCTCAACAGATAGTCGGACATCCAAGGCCACTTCATCGAGTACATGATCGCAAAGCCGTTCGAGCTGCAAGGCCAGAAGGCGAAGCACATTTACCCTGGGCTGTTGAAGGCCATTCCAGACGAGCTCAACATCGTGAAGTGGTCGGAGGGCAGCGCACCAGCTTCGTCTGCTGTATCTACGTTCACGTTCCAGCCCATGGCAGACAGAGCCAGCGCCAACCTCGGCATCCTCAAAATGTGGGGTCAGTGTGCTGAGGACATCCTGAAGGAGCGCAAAGAATCGACTACTTGTTTTTTTTTGGCCAGATACGCGTGGCATACACGCGCACCACAGGGGGAAGCTGAAGCTCAAGGCCGTCAAGAAGCATACGATGAGACATTTCTCCATCGCCAGTGCCAACAGGTACCGCACCCAGCTCGAGCGGAACATCATGGGAGTTGAGCTCTTGGTCGAGAGCAACGTCGATTGCATCATGCAGCCGCCCCCTGAGGATGTCGAGTACACATTCCAGCTCGTGGTTGATGTTCTGTTTGACTTGTCGGCTGACTTTCACCTGCGGAAGGGCGGCGCAGATGACTCCCAGTTCATCAAGGACCTGAAAGCGTTGATGCCTTTGCTGAATGGCGACATGCGTGGCGAGAGGATCAAGCACTACTGCCGTCATCCTCAGACTGGTCGCCCGTGTTGCAACGGCAAGTCCGACACGATCGACAAACTGTGCACAGGACTGGTTCATGCTTTATTCGGGTCGTCGGACCCTCGGCCCTGTGAAAGTCGCTGGACAAATGTGCTGATGAATATGAAGAGGACTCTCTTGCGGCGTTTGGTCTACAAGATAGGGATCGACAGCTTCGTCGGACATCCAGACGCTCGGGGTGTTGTTGATGCTGACGAAGAGGAGGTGCCCCTACTCCGAGAAGTTGATGGCATGTCAGATGCGGATTACTGGAAGCATGTGTTCAATGTGAGGGCGAAGAAGATCAAGGCCTACTACGGTGATGAGCGAAATTTCTGGGAACTCATGGTGTTCGTGGGGATATTTGAAGCGTGCGATTCTACGCTATTGTACCCCCTGCTCGGCGATCCGACTGTCAACAGCAAGAGGGACGACCAGCGGTCGAAGATGGATATTCTACTGGACAAGGGCGACACCGCCATAGGCAAGTTCAGCCAGAAGATGCTCGATTTGGCAGACTCGTGGATGGGCCTGCCCACGCGGAAGCCCTGGTGCCTTCTCGACATGCTGGGGGCGCCTTTGACAGATCAGACTTTCTCGCGGTTTGCACGTTCTCAGCTTCTCAAACTCAACAGCGTGATGCTCAGGAGGTACGAATCCAGGTTCTCGGCTTACCCTTATCGCTTGTACCCGTTGGCCAGCAGCACGGCGTCGCTCGAGGAAGCGCAGAGGATTGCTCACGATGCCATCAACGCGCCGTGGCACATGAAGGACTCCTACACCAAGGGCATCACCAGCCATTTCAACACCGTGGGGAAGATGCTCTCCAGCGAATGCATCGCAGTGCTCTTTGCAGATTTCCGCCAGCATGCGTACGGGACCGACTTCATCGAGCGACTCAACAGCGAGTACGCGGCGAAGATCCCAGTTCGAGCTCAAGGTCGTAGCAGTTCAAACGCTCAGCGAGAACATCTCCTACAGCAGCTCTGCACAGTTCATCGTGGGCATGGCGGGCTCCATCCACTAAAGACAGGGTGCCTCAGCAATGACGTCAAGGAGGAGATCGTGATGGCATCGCCTCTGCTGGAAGATTCACTCAAGCGACATTCTAACTGGCTTAGGGGTGAACGACGGCATGGAGATCTAACTGCGCTTGAAGATGGTGACCCTGACCATCAACCTGCCCAAGCTGACGATCAGGAGTTGGCCATTTGTCTTGCTCAGGAGCCGTCTGCATACTTCGAGGGGTTGCATGATGACTGGGGTTGTGAAGTGCTTGCGCGGAGGCCGAACCCATCGAGCTTATCTCGTGGCAAGGAGGCGCCAGCGTCACCGACTAAGGATGAGGCGCCTCGCAAGGGGCTCAGCGCGTACATGCTCGAGAAGAACAAGTGCATGAAGGCGATCAAAGCCGTGGTAGGGCGCAGGCTCACCAGGGACGAGACCACCAGTCATGCGGAGACGTTCAAGCATATGGTCGCCGACTGCAACCAGGATGCCCTCAAGGATGCGTACGACCTTTGGAGACAAAGCCCCAGCGAGAACAAGGCCCTGGAAGTGCCGACCTACAGACCTATCTGGGGTGGTGGATGCAACGCGCTGCCCATCACGGGTGATGAGTTCTGCAATTACATCACCGCTAACGGCTGGCCGTCCTACCAGGAGGTGTTCGACGATTCGCTTGAGGAAAGGATGGCCCAGGTCGACGAGTCTATCGATTTCGAGCTCTTCAAGAACGTCGACCTGTGGGGAGTCCCAAGGGGGGCCAGGAATGTCGACCGCGCGGCTTCGAGGGCACCCCACGCGTTCGAGTTCGTGGAGAAGGGGATCATGAGCTACATGACGTACATCGGCACGCAGAAGGCGGAGGAGGGCGACACCATGCTCATGGTCGAAGGCCCTGGCGTTCGTGGTGGTCGTTGGAGGTGTGCCGTCATTGTGAGCGACATCACGTGGAACCCAAGAGTTTTCGACATCACCTGGAACAACTGGGTCATCGAGAGCAACGAGAGGTCCGAGGACGTGGGCTCGAGCGAACGCACGGCCCCCGTAAAGGTTTCGGGGGCGAGGGTAAGGCTAAGAACGTCCAGGGTATACGAGGCCCACGCACGAGGCCGATCGTCCTTCGAACGCCCGATCCCTCACCCTCTGTTCCAGTGTCAAAACATTGTTTGGGGCCAGGTTTTGTTTGAAGATGGGGAGGTGTTCTCATCAATCCTAGCCTTACCCTTCGCCCCCCGAAGGACTTGGTGCTGCCTTGCTGGGTGAGGATCGCCGATCGCAGCAACAAGGTGTCGGAGCGCTTCAAGGCTATCGATTCCATGACGTCGGACGTGTGGATCGACAAGCTAGTGACTGAGCTCGAGAGCATGACGGTCTACGAGGCAGAGTACGAGATCGACCATGCGTGGGGCAGTCTGCGCTTATCCAAGATTGTTGGCCTCAAGAGGTTGGGCATTCTCTGGGAGCCATCGATGACGAAACCTTTGAGCTTCGCAGCAGCCGCGGTCGACGCCGACAAGGTGGTCAAGGACACCATCATCGCTTCCGACCCCTTCAGCGAGGGCGCGCTCGTGGCCCGAGGTCGCGGTCGTGGTCGCTGCGCGAGCCGAGGCTCTAGCCGAGGCGGTCGCCGAGGCAAGGGCAGTCGAGGCAGGGGCAGGGGGAGTGGCATCGCAGCAGTTGGCGCCATTGCCGATGCTGATGACCCCAGCGCCGCTCCACCAGAGGTGCGCGCAGACGGCGTGCCTGACGATGATGGTCGCGAGCCTGCAGGTGGAGGTCACGAGGTGGAGCGCGAGATGGATCTTGCAGATGACTTGGAGTCCGTGACGTCCGTGGAGGAGATGGAGGATGCGTTCTCCGAGATGCCAGCCCAGTTGGAGGCGCCAGTCATGCCGCCGCCAGCCGATGACTATCGAGAAGTCAAGCAGCCAGAGCCTGACGACGAGGGCGACGCCGACTTCATCGGGATGGCTGCTGAGCACGTGAGCGGGGCGGCTGCTGAGCCCGACGCTGCTGCCCCTCCGAAGCTCGACGGCGGCGAAGGCGAGACACCACCTCACGACGACGCGGACGCGTCGGAGTCGAAGCCGTGGCAGAAGTTCTCGCCGAAGACGCCACAGGACTACTACTACCTCGGCGGCCGCCAGGTGTGCCGCATCCAGCGCGGCAAGCCGAAGAACTCTATCACGATCACGTGCTACTTCCACAGCGGTTGCTCGCTGTGCGTGACTGAGCGCCTCGGCCCGAAGACAGACGAGGAGGTGTTCAGGTGGCTGTACAGCGTGCCTGAGACGCCCGCGGGCGCAGACGCGGCCAAGCGCAAGGAGCTGTCTGCTGCGCATCGGGCCCTGGGCAAGGGCCAGTGGGCGGCGAAGCGCCCCGCCAGGTAGGGCAGCCTCGCCCCGCTCTCCATCACCACTCAGAGGATCCCGAGGCATCTTGCATTCATCCCCATCGCACCTTCACCGTGACATCCACTTCACTCCCCTCCCCCATCCCCCCTGACCCTGGGAGGGGGAGGGGTCGGGGATAGGGGGCAACGCCTTAGTACCCACCCCCCACCTTACAACCGCGCTCCCCGCTCGCCAATTTCCTTCCTGCTCAACTCCCTTCTCTTCTGGGACCAACGCACACCGCTCGTCCTTCCCCGTCTCCGCCCGTCCTTGGTGGCTGGCGCGGTGCGTGTGCTCGAGGCCCCCTTGCCTTTGGGCACTCGAGCGAAACTGTGGCGTTCCGCCTCATCGTCAGAAACGCGGCATCTTGTTTTAAGAGAGGTTGGAGTCGGTTGGAGGATCGATGTTTGGGTTGACAATGTGATTTCCAAAACATGTGGTGTGGCATGTTGATTTTTTCAGAGGTCGGTTGAGAACATCTGGATGGGGCGGCGGTGGCAACAACCACAAGGCATACTAGAGCTAGATGGGATAGGATGACGCAGGTAAAAGGGAGAGGAGAGGAGAGGAGAGGAGAGGAGAGGAGAGGAGAGGAGAGGAGTTGAGAGGAGGAAGAGGAGGAAGAGGAGAAGAGAGGGAGAGGTAAAAGTAGAGGAAGAGGAGAGGAGAGGAGAGGAGAGGGGGAGCAGGAAAGGAGGAGAGGAGAGGAGGACAGAACAGGAGAGAAGGACAGGACACGAAACCAAACGGGAGGGAGGAGATGGTGGAGGGGGCAGGGAAGAAGGAGGAAGAGGAGGAGGAGCCAGGATGATGGAGGATCCGCCGCCCTCTGCCGCCCCCCCCTTGCCGCCCCGACCTCAACAACTTCGAGGCCCCCGCAGCGCGCTTGCTCCGCGAGCGTGCTGGCGAGAGGTGGGGGAGGAAGGGAAAGGACGAGGAGAGAGATGAGGGTCGTAATCGTAGTCCGTCGTCGTCTCTGTCATCGCCGTCGTAGACGTCGTAGTCGTAGTCGTAGTCGTGGTAGTCGTCGTTGTCGTCCTCGTAGTCGCAGCCGTCGTCGCAGTAGCTGCCGTAGTCGTAGTCGTGGTAATAAGACAGGCAGCAGCAGCATATCAGAAACAGCAGCAGCAGCAACAACAATAGTAGCATTCGTAGTGGCAGCAGTAGTGGTACACGTATACGTATACGTAGAAGTAGAAGAATAAGTAGAAGTGGAAATATGATTAACAGTAGTCGTAACAGAGCAGCAGTAGTAGTAGTAGTAGTAGTGGTAGTAGTAGTAGTAGTAGTAACAATAGCCGTAACAGTAGACGCAACACTGACAATTGCAAGATCAGCAACAGTAACACTAGTAGTAGCAGGAGCGCATGCCGGAATCATCAGTCGCAGTTGTAGCAGCCATAGTAGCAGTAGTAATAACAGCAGGGGTAACAATAGCAGCAGTAGTATTAGTATTAGTCAGGATCAGCAGCATCAACCATTCAAATCGTAGTACTTCTGTAGCAGTACAGGTGCCATCATGACAGGTAGTGCAGGGGTCTAGTTTACAGAGTGCGCTTACGTATTTGTAAACATGTACTTGTGCAAAGCAAAAGTAAAGATATCAGCTTCAATGCATCATGGGTAGTGGCAGTAGTAGCAGTAACATTATACAGTATCAGTAGCAGTGTTAGCAGTGGTAGTAGTATTCGTAGTAGTAGCAGTAACGGTAATAGTAGTAGCCGCAGCAGCGGCACTCGCATTACTGGTAGCATTCGTAGTAATAGTGCATAGTGTAGCCGCAGCGCTAGCATTAGTAATCGAAGTGGTAACAGCAGAAGGATAATTAATACGAGTAGTAGTAGTAGTAGTCGTAGCAGTAGTAGTAGTAGTAGCAGCAGTAGTAGTAGTAGTAGTAGTAGTAGTAGTGTGTAGTAAGTGAGTAGTGCGTTATGAGTGTATGAGTTACCCGTAAGTGGGCAAAATGTAGTAAGTGGGGTAGTCGGGTATGTAGCGTAACAGCAGCAGTAGTAGTAGTAGTAGTAGTAGTAGTAGTTGTAGTAGTAGTAGTAGTAGTGTAGTGGTAAGTAGTATTGGTAGTAGTGGTAATAGTCGTAGTAGTAATATAGTTATTAGTAGTAGTCCAGTAGTAGTAGTTGGAAGTAGTAAAGTAGTAGTAATGAGAGTTATTGTTTAATACCACTACCACCATAGTATCTAGTGAGAGTATTAAGTGGCAGTCAAGTAGTAAATTAGTAGTTGTTTTTTAGTAGTATAGTAGTAGTAGTAGTAGTAGTAGTAGTAGTAGTAGAACACATAACCGTAGTAGCAGTAGTAGCCGTAGTAGTAGTAGTAGTAGTAGTAGTAGTAGTAGTAGTAGTAGTAGTAGTAGTAGGAGTAGGAGTAGCGGTACTACTAGTAGTAGTCGTAGTAGTAGTAGTAATAGTAGTAGTAGTAGTAGTAGTAGTAGTAGTAGTAGTAGTAGTAGTAGTAGTAGTAGTAGTAGTAGTAATAGTCATAGTAATAGTAGTAATAGTAGCAATAATACGTTTGGTAATGGCGGTGGTGGTGGTTGTAGCCGTAATAATTGCAGTAGCAGTAGCAATAGTCGGAATACCAGTCGCACCAGTAGTAGTAACAGCGGCAGCGGTAGTAGTAGAGGTAACCCTTGTAGCAACCATAAGCATGACTACTACCCGCCTTTCTTGGTGGCGTAGGTAGTCGCAGTAACACCCGTCGCCGAACTAGTCGCATACATTGTAGCAGTACGAGCAGCCGCACCAGTAGCATCAACCATAGCAACAGTGGTCGTAACAGCATTAGCAATAGTAGTAGGAGCAAACTGAAGCGCAGTAGCTGTAGTAGCAGTAGTAGCTGTAGTAGTAGCAGTAATAGCGGTAGTAGTTAGCAGTTGTGGTAGTAGTAGTAGTAGTGGAGTGGTAGTACCAGTAGCAGCACAGTAGAAGAAGCAGCCGCCGTCGGTGTAGTAGTAGTAAGAGCAGTAGTAGTCATAGTATTCGTCGTAGTAGTAATAGCAGTCGTTGTTGTAGTTGTGGGTGTAGTTGTGGTATCATTAACAGTAGTCATATCATACTACTCGTGGTACCACGTATTGTTGTTACTGCAACTGCTACTAACACGGCTACCCCTAACACTACTACTCGTACTTCTACTACTACTATTACTACTACTACTACTACTACTACTACTATTACTACTACTACGACTACTACTACTACTACTACTACTACTACTACTACTACCACTACCACTACTACCACTACCACTACCACTGCTACTACTACTACTACTACTACTACTACTACGACTACTACTACTGCTGTTACTGTTACTGCTACTACTACTACTACTACAACAACTACTACTACCATTACTAATACAACTACTACTACTACTACTACTACTACTACCACTACTACTACTACTACTACTACTACTACTACTACCACTACTACTAGTACTACTACTACTACTACTACTACTACTACTACTACTACTACTGTGGCTGCAACGATTACGTTCACGGTTACTTCGTTTACTAGCGCGGTTACTTCTATGGCTGCTGCTACTCCCACTACGACCTCTTACTGTTACTTCCATGTGTGCTTCTACGTATACTTGTACTTCTTCCACCAATTGTACCACTTCTGGCACGACTACTACGATTCATTCTACTATTCCTTTTAGCGCTCGTGCTGCTACATCTGCAGCTACTGCTGTTACCGCCGCAACTGATGTGAGTGGTGCTTCTGCAACTGATGCCACTACTTCAGCTACTGCCACTATAACGGCCCACTGGTGCGAGTGCCACACCTACTGCTACGCAGACTGCGACTATCACCTTTGTTGCTGGTACTGCGGTTCCTGTCACACCTGCTACTTCTTCTGCATCAACTGCGCCCGTCGGAATACAAAGTGTGGATCAATTGCAGCAGCTCCCCTGTGTTACTGCCATTACTGTCGCGACTGCGACTGCTACCCCGACTACGTCTACAACTGGTACATGCGACTACTTATGTCATGTTTTTGACTACGACGGCTCCTATGTCTCCTGCTGCTAGTTTGGCTACACCAATCAATCCCACTATTACTGCAACTGCTACTACTACTAGTGTCATTACTAC